AAACACATACCATTCTAAACAAAGAGAGTAGACAAACTAAATGGGGATTATAACTCATTCTGGAAGTGGGAAATGGTTATAGAGTTCGAATCTGCAGTGACTTGCTGGTACTTCAAAGATCTTCTCTAATAGCAGATGGAATCAGCTAATCTGATGTAATCCTTATCAGCGGCTAAAAAATTCTTATAACATATTTGGCTAAGTCGATCGATATAGTCAAATAATAAAAGCTTTGATACCAGGACTACCTCAGTATCGAAATAAAAGGACAATAATATTTTGAATTTTATCAAAATCAAACGAAAACTCTACAAAAACTCAACTAGCAGAAGGTCCTAAATTAGGGACTTACTAACTCGCGAGTAAAATGTTTGAGGCCCAAAATGAAAGAACCAAAAGAAGAGCCATAAGTAAAAAAGAAAAAAAATCACTTTTTAGTACTCGATGTCTGATTAACCAACAACAACAACTGCAGAAACGACAACACCAACAAGCAAAAGACCACAAAAGCACCTGGAAAACCGGCGTCGAACTGTCACTTTGGTCATTTGCCAGTTGAGTGGCGGCATGTCGCTGTAAAAGACGAAGACGCCGACGAGTGAAATTTCGCAGTTAAAGGACAGAACGATAACTGAAGCGACATGCAACTGAACATTGTTGTAATTGTTATTTGCATTTTAGCAACTTTGTTGCTATTGTTTCAAGGCTTCATTGTCATATTTTGTTTTTTACGTAACGAGTAAACTGTTGTGGCGTATGTCCTTTCTTTTTTGTTGTCGCAGAGTTTTGGTACATTTACTTCAGTTTGCTGCCGTTTGTTCTTTTTTTTTTCTTTTACAATTTTGCTTTTGTTGCTGTCATTTTGCTGGTTTCGTGCGCCAGTGCTCAAGTGCTTGTCGCTCTTTTGGCATTTCAAATTATTTCATTGCAAAACACAAACAAGCAGTCATTTGAAATTCAGGCAGACCAAAGGCATAAAAATAATGACAACAAACGTACAAGGCAACAACAATGGCCACTTCATAACAGCAAGCGCAACTACAACTCACTTAGCGCCCACACTTAAGCAAGAAGAAGAGTCAACTTTTACCCCGTTTAACAACTTAACGTCTTCCCTATTTTCCAGTAGTTTAAAATTATTCCGAAGCATTTTCCAGCAGCAAGCAGTCGTGAAAATTTTAATTGT